TGCTCAGACTCTGCGGGTACGTATGCGTCGACCTTGACATCACACTCTCGGCCTGACCCATTTCTGGTGTCTCCCGACGTGATATTGCTGGAATATTGCTAAAATCGGCATAGTAATGCATGCGAGTTTTTTGTATTATTGCGATCCTAAGCATGGATGAATGCATCACCATTATATACTCTCGATACAAAGGCGAGCGCATCCGATCTCCAGAAGTACATGCAAAGGAGAGTTAAAACTTAGATATAACCCAAATGTTCATAGAACCTAACGGTTTATCTACAACTCAAATGAGCCAAGGGTTAAACAATAATCTGCCTACACTTAAAAATCTGGCTTAGCGCTTGCCTAAAGTACACTGTCGAAGAATTATCGAAATTATCATTTGTTTTTTACGTTTCCGGAAAAATATCATCTCAAGAAACAAAAATCGCTGTCTTCGTATTTTCACTACAATACGATTTCCCTTTCACAGAGTGCGACTGAACCAAGTGAACTGTGAGCTCCAGGCCTTCAGAGGAACATGTGCGGCTTCCGAGACAAGTCTGAGGAACCAAGCCGAGTGTACCATTCTCCCCCAGCCTTGCCTCCAGGAGCCATCATTCCAGGCTGGTCTTCGACAGATGTGCCAGGCAGCTACTACACCACCCACAATGATGACCACACCCAGACCAGTTGTCACGACACCCGAGAAACCTCATATTGTCACCAAGGAAATTCCAGGCGGCGGCGGCAATACAAAAGGCGGAAGTGCAGCCATTACAGTCTCGGGCATTCTTGTATCGGCAGCCATTTTGTTTTCTGTGACTCTTTTTCGTTAAACACATAACTCTAGAATCAGGAATGTAATTTATTTGTCTCAAAAGTTGTTAAGTATCGAACAATACTGAAACGAAAATGTTAATCGTTACGAAGCAAAGGAACATGAAAATAGACAACGGAAAATGACAGTGATGATTGTGTTTATACATGAGTAGAGATTTTGTTTTCGTTTTACTTTGATGTAAAGTTGTTCATGCTAAACGTTCAACTGTATTTTGCTTTGTGCTATCGTTATGTCAACATAATACAATGTTTCCGAATTGAAATGATAACAATTGAATAACGTTATGATTACGAAAGTGTGGAGTTCCTTGCACTCTGTGATCAGGGCAACGGAATGAAGACACTTGTCTGACTGGTAGCCATGTTCACAGCTTCATAATGACATTAAAATGATATAAAATATGATTGAAATCGATTTGATCATTTTTGATAAGACCGCAATAATACATGATTCTTGTATTGTCTACAATAATGTCAACTGAACCCACTGACAAACAATGGCTAAATTAGTTTGTTTGTATATTGTACATAGTAAAATACACATAAATAAAATGTATATATTCTCTTAAATATGTATTTCGCTTATTGTGTGACCTGCAGTAGAAGAACAATAAATCTCAAGCTGTTCTCACAAATTCGAGGAAGTCTTCAAGCATTGGCCTGTTAGATACTGGTCCAAGGCAACGCAACAACCCCAGATAAAATGGGTTCACACAGCCACGTTCACGAAACTTTATTAATTGTAATTCCCGCATAATATTCAAGTTGGGAATCGAACCCGGGCCTTCGGCGTTACGGGTTTCATTTTCGGCTCATGTTGACAAAGGGTAGTGAGTAGCCAAGCGATCATAGCGTTCACTCGAAGGGATAATGATCCACGAGGGTACAATGTGTGAAGCCCAGGGACCCGTTCCACAAAACGATCGTAGCGCTACGACTGTCGTAAGTCTATGTTAAAGTATGGTTACTATCACCTTTGCGCAGCGATCGCTCTGTGAAATGGAGCCCAGTTTTGTGACATTGGTTGGATATTGCTAAAAGAGATGCACAACATTCTTACTACCTCTGATGCGTTACTTTATAATCAAACCTCCAAGTCAAAACATTACACAACAGTCTCGTTTTCTACTGACTGGGTTTCGTCCTATTGCGCAACATAATACAATAACCAGTCCAGAATGTTGAGACCAATTCATTCAACTGGATACATAAATATTAATCAGTATTATTTGATACATCTAAGCAATTGTATATTGCGACAATACGCTCCTTCTAATCCTTACAAACACATCGTGCAGTGTGCTCTGTCGTACAGCGTGCTTTGACAGACGGATCTCTGGAAATCGTTGAAATGTCAAAACGAGGCTCTTTTCACTTTCACACGAGAAAATTCGGATCGGCTGAAAAGTAGGTCATTGTCTGAATAGCTTAATGAAACTCATGTTTCGGTTTGGTTCAACTTCACGTACCTCTTGCTCATGAAGCGTTGAGAAATCAACCTCAGTATAGTTTGGTGCAATGTTGTCATCCGGCATGACTGTGTTTGACTCTGTATGACAAACATGACTGATTTCAACGCAGCTTTTATCAGTACTTCATCAAACATGAGATTATCCTAAATTGATGTTTTAACACCAAAACTGCTTTGGTGATTCCAACGAGATCCGTACTAGACAGACCTGTTGGTTGGTTTGTTGTTCAAAGCTGCACCCAGCAATATTCCAGTCCAAAAGATATTTGTAAAACGGGCTCGAACGGGATAGAACGTATAACTTTTGTAATAATTACGATGCTAGTTCGACCATAAACAGTTCTCAGTACGTCTATCTCGTCTTTATCCCGTTCCGAAACAACAGTTGGTATTACGTTTAGAGTGGGTAATGTTGTCCGTTCAACCCGTGTAGACAACGTTTTCAGGCAGTTCAATCCCGTCCTATCTCGTTCTTAATACGCACAGACCCGTTCTAACTCGTTCTGAACTCGACCAACTCGTATTCAGGAAGTTCTCACTCCGTTCCTTGTGCGTGCATTCGTAATATCAATCACGTCCTGGTCAGATTTCTATAAGTACCCAGCACGCTCTTGTCCGTTCTCATTTTCAAGGTGCTTCATCCATGGTTCCAAAGTCTTTCTGTAATTGGTGTCTTCTCTTTAATGAAGAGGGTGATGCGTTCAAGACGTTTATCAAACATGGGTGGGGTGATTCTCAAGAAATTGTAGAAGAAACCATGATCATCAATGCTGAGCTCCCCCCATCAGTTGATGATAATGTCCTACAGCTATTTGCCTCTCAGGTTTAAACCAGTTCCTAAACCCAACAAGTTCTTGTTCTTTTCCTCTTTTCTTGCTCTACCAACTCGTTGTACTCTTGCTCTGCTAACAATAAGAATTTGCAGGAAGCCTGCATTCAACATGTTGACAGCTGCACACTTGTTCATGTTTCACAGATAGAAATCTCTATCCCAAATGACGACCGTGTTAAAAAACGCAGAAAGAACTGCGTGAGAACTACATAAACGTACTGACAACGAGCAGAATGTAATAAGAACCCATGGCGAACTATTAGAACCGTGTAGAAACGGACTACACACATCCCCAATACAATTCGTTTTGTTTTGAACATATATATTTGCAATGAATAGCAACTAACTAATGTCGCAATGCGGTCGTGTTAAGTCTGTCTGCGAACGGGATGGGGGAAGTGGAAACTGTGTACAAACGTGTAATTGCAATTGATGCCCGACTGTACTACGTCCGCACACGTCCCCAGTAAGATTGAAGTCCGACAATTCCGTTCGTAGTACGGCAATCTCGTTTTAAGTAAGTTGTCAGTTCGTCCCATTGGGACGGGTAGAACGTTGGACATGTTCAACGTTCTGGAGCACCTTCCCGTCGCTAGTTTAATTTTACGCCGCTTTCAGTAATATTCCAGCAATGTCACGGCTGGGACACAGGAAATGGGCTTCATACATTGTACCCATGTGGGAAATCGAACCCGGGTCTTCGGCCTGACGAGCGAACGCTTTAACCACTAGGCTACCCCATCGGCCCCGGAAGGTAATACACCTGAATAATACAAGTAACACAATTAACATTAAGAAGATATGACTGATGAAAGTATTGTAGGTATGTTTAACTTTGTTATACTTTACCGGAAGTCAGGAGAATATATGATACAAGATGGTAATAGCATCGGACAACATGTCGAATTATAAAACAAGAGTTATATCATACTGGTTACGACTACTTAGCCAGCCAGCCACCAAGACACTCTAAACGTTGCTATAATATGATGAAAAATCTAGATGATAATGGAGATACTAACTGGACCTCTTCAGTTTAGAACATTGTTATTTCAATACGGTTATGCACATGTATGGATCCACCAAACGGTTGGAGATCCTTATATGTTCTTAAAGCTATTCAAACAACGCTGTAGAGATATATATTACCAAGAATGGTCATCCGATATTGCAAGCTCCAAATATTCGTATGCATATTCACTATTTTAAACATGACATTGTCCATGAAACATATCTAGAAGTATTATCCTCTATGCAACTCCGCAGATCTCTTACAAAATTTAGATGTGGCATCAGTAAACTGAATGTACAAACCTATAGAAGATCCAAAGATGATGATATCAGTTCTGCCATGTGCGCTCATTGCGTCAATATTGTCCAGGACGAGTAATAGCATCGGACAACATTTTGTTACTGATGCGTAAGGTTCTCCACCATAAACCTTTCTGAAACCTGTACTAAGGTCATGAAATGTGTAAGCATAATGAAACAACTTGTTTGCTACATTGGTAGGACGGTCCTTAGAAACCACCAGAACTTTGAATCACCTCAGGATCTGATTGCATCCCACATTAAGCTGGCACGTCGTAATATAACTCACATTCTGGTCAGACTCTACTGTTCATTGGCATGTAAACTCAAAGACTTATGAAATACCCACATGCCTGGGATACTGAGACCAACATTAGTTTGGCTGCCACAGTCTTGACAATGGAAGACTGACACAATCAATTTGTTCTTGTATGGCTTCAGCTGAAGTGTCATTACGATGTCATTTTTCAGCCCACAATAAAAATTACCATATATCCAGGTATCCCTGCAATGTATGCTCACAATATCCTACAGTAGATTGTGTTCCATTTGCTTGAGAACATGACCATGGTGCGGCTGGCTGTTCTCATCCTCTTGGTGGTCATCCTGGCTAAGCTGGGAACGTCCAAGACGGCCCCAGCGAAAAAGGGTAAGTAGAAATTATGTCGTTCAGCACAGCAATTGTCGTTTGAACAATAAAGGAAAGTGTAAAATTATTTGCATCAGTACTTGAATTGTTTGTGTGGGATTTCTAGCCGGATTTCTGTTTTGGGTGAAAGAAGGAAACACTGTCTAATGTGGCATTTACAGTGAGTGAGTGGATGAGTTTAGTTTTACGCCGCACTCAGCAATATTCCAGCTATATGGCGGGTGTCTGTAAATAATCGAGTCTGGACCAGACAATCCAGTGATCAACACCATGAGCACCGACCTACGTAATTGGGATACGATGACATGTGATCTCTCTTACGACAAGCAGGGGTCGCTGAAGATCAATTCTAACCCCGATCTTCATGGGTTCCAAAACAGCATGGGCATCGATCTGCGTAATTGGGAACCGATGACATGTGTCAACCAAGTCAGCGAGCCTGACCACCCGATCCCGTTAGTCACCTCTTACGACAAGCATGGGTTACTGAAGGTCAATATTCTAACCCGGACCTTCACGGGTCGTGGCATTTACAGGAATGAGTAGGCTGTATTCACTGCCGCGAACTGGTGAAAAGAGAGACAGAGAGGGAGGGAGGGAGATTGTGTGTGTGTAATTTCTAAGTGCAGTTTAGATTCTTACTTGGGACACTGAATTCCTGCCAGCTTCCAACACTATTCTGGATTAAAGACGAGAGACGCGTCTCTTTCAGGACAATAAACAGTAACAATTTCATGAACATTAATTTTCAAGTGAGTGAGTGAGTTTAGTTTTACGCCGCTTGTGACCATAAGGGAAATCGAACCCGGGTCTTCGGCGTGACGAGCGAACGCCTTAACCACAAGGCTACCCGAGACAGTAACTCATTCCTGTTGCCACCTGTTTACCAATTCCAATACATGTATTTACCAATTCCATTTTTACGCTGCTTGTCTGTAAATATGGATGGCTCTACATGTTGTCTGTGAATCTGTTATATTCTACGTGTAGAATGTGGATCACCTGTTACGACAAGAATCAGAGTAATTATGTACGAAACCAACTGAACATATACATTCTATTTCAGGGGACAAACATGAGACAGAAGAACCTCCATCTCCAGAGGAGCAAGAAACAGAAGAGAAAGCGGAAACAAAGAAGTCTGACAAATGTAAGTTTCCACATATTCGCACTCAACAATGTAATAATATTCAATAATTAGTCTATTTATAATCCGCCAAATCCACATTGACAGCATGCTCATAGCGCAGGATTATTATCATCCCGGATAACCCAAGCTGCCTGTGAGGCGCTAGAAGGGTAATAGTCACATAACATATCCCACCGGGTACCCATATTCTGCTGGGTGAAAAGAGGCAACTCACTTGGCTAGGGTGAGACCACATGTATCACATGTGCTTCGTTGTAAGACAGGACTGAAATCCTAGAACCACCCAGGAGTCTCAGAACTGTGTACAGCATTAAATTGTGTGTTGAACAGTGCTTGAAACACTATTTCCATCACGGCGGTTCAAACCATATTTAATAATTTGGCCATGCCACAGACCGAACGAATGATGCTTTAACACCAATGGACATTTTAACAGAAAATTCGACCTAAGTGCAGAATGTTTCAAGACAAGGCCCATTTATACGCCGGTACAGAAACACACATAAACCTGACGTACAAAATCAAAGTACACACCTGGTGCTTTGGTAAAATGTTTTCCCGAAAACAGCGTAATATTTAGAAAAGTGTTTTGATTGCGACTCACAAGTCACAAACATTGTGTACATGTTGCAATAACACCATATATATCGTACCCAATTGGAACATTGCTAGCAAAATATTTACGTTGTTTTAATAGTCTCAAAACACCAGGAGTGTACTTTCTTTTGTACATCAGTATATTAGGATACTTGACATAGGACATTGCTCAATATGAGTGAGTGAGTGAGTTGGGCAGTTTGTTTACCGAACCATCTTCATTGTGAAATAAATTATGTTTAAATCATAATGAGTGAGAGAGTGAGATTAGTTTTACGACGCTGTTAGCAATATTCCAGCAATATCACGACAGGGAACGCCAGAAATGGGCTTCACATATTGTACCCATGTGGGGGAATGGAACCCGGGTGTTCGGCGTGACGAGCGAACGCTTGAACCACTAGGATACCCCGCCGCCCCCTTGTCATAAACATGTACCCTTTGTTACAGCGTGTGCTTTTCTATATGTCATGATACGCGAATGAGCTTTTCAGTATCTTCCTTTTTTTTATTTGCAGTGAAGTATCTCGAACGTAAGATGGAATATCTGGACAAATTGAATAAGAAGATGGTCATAAGTTCTGCTAAGTTTGAAAGAGAAGTGGCAGGTATGTCTTTTTTTCAAATCAGTTAGTGTGTGAGTATGTTTTTACGCCGCTTTTAGCAATATTCCAGCAATATCACGGTGGGGGACACCAGAAATGGGCTTCACACATTGTATCCATGTGGAGAATCAAACCCGGGTCTTCGGCGTGATGAGCGAACACTTTAAACACTAAGCTACCCCAACGCCTCTGTATTCTACCAGTGAATCATTTTACAAAGGTGTATAGAAAGAAGACTACTGGAATCGTTTTTGCTTATATACTGATGTACATTTTTAATATAATTTCATTTTGATGATTTGTCAGATCTGCAATGCCGTCTAAAATAACAGTGTAATCACAGAATTAGTAGCACATACATCTTGAATAGCTTTAAGTATGATCTTTCTATGTTGATTGTATAAAGAACATTCTAAGAATTAGTGATGAGCATTTTCGCATGGGTTTCCACATGCGCAGGATGGATCAGTGATTAGCCTTACTCTGTACAGATCGTAACTTAATCTACTAGCTCCATGACGTAGTAATGTAATATATTATATTTTCTAATACCGTAAGAAAAGTAAAGTGGAGCTGAGTTATATGATGTTATTATGCTCGATTTAAATGCTGATAGTGAAGTAGAATTTCTTAACTCTGTAGATAATAAATCTGTTTTCCTGCACTTTTCAATACAAAACATAATTACCTTGTAGTTTTATAACAAAAGCGAAACAGCCATCGCATGTAAGTTATTAATTTGTTACATTAAGTCAATTCACTTTTCACATTTACTGAGAATTGGGTAGAAGTCATATTATGATGTCCATAATGCCGGGAGACAATATTTTCAAATAATGTCTCTCACTAAAGTATATTTTTTCTATTTGTGTATAATTTATATTTTCATCTTTCCTTTTTTCATCGACGGGTAATTTGCGTCTTAAAAATGAATAGTTGTAATTTTAAAGTATGCGCACATACGTAACGAAATATTGACTCGATTAAATTTCCAAAAGGGCTGAAACTGAAACCCATACTGCTGTGAGATAATACAAGGGTCTCTACGTGTCACCAAAGCAAGTATCTTCTAAAGACTTATATTAAATGCAGTGATATTTGTACATTTTAAAACAAACAAGAATGTATAAAGGAACTTAATTTATGTCTTTGTGGTTGGAGTGGGAGACTTAGGGTTTACGCCGCTTTTAGCAATATTCCAGTAACATCACGGCAGGAGACACAAGAAATGGGCTCCACACATTGTATTTATGAAGGGAATTGAACCCGGGTTTCGGGCGAACGCTTTGACCACTTGACTACCCCACCGCCCCTCTCGATATGGGGATGTGTTGTAAGGCCACTTATAATTACGTTGGACATCTCGGGTAGATGATGCTCTTTAATAGTGTAGTCGATGCACTGGATTGTCTGATCGCTCGATTATCCTGGTCCAGACCACCGCCATATAGCTGAATAGTGCTAAGTGCGGCGTAAAACTAAACTCACTCACTTTAATAGTGTAGTATCACCTTGTAGTTCCATAGTAGCGCATCTGCATGGACGTCCTGTTGTTGTTTTTATAGGTTTCCGTAAACAGATGGAGAAAGGGAGAGCATCAGTACAGAATGACCGGAAAAGACTGAGATTGATTGAAATAGCCATGAAAGGTACAAATGATGTTGTTGGTCATAATAACTAAGTTTCGATACTAAACGACCTACCGAGTAATAGCATTTCTATTAAACAGAGTTAAAGATTACGAGTTAGTATTCTGTTTATTACTCGCGAACATAAACAAACTGCCTTTGAGCGTGATGACTGGAGTCATCTTTCCGCGAGTCAAGCAAGGTCTAATACCATTGTGACGTCATAACTGTAAACCATTATGACGTCATACGTCCGGCATCACGCGATATTATTACACATTATTACCTACGAGGGCGAAAATATCGGGCTTCATATTTTTCATACGATACCCTAGGGCAAATTATCACTTCCTCATGGTGACGTGACGTCATGAACAATGCTATGACGTCACGTTTTTTCTGTGACGTTGCGTTCTACATACGGCGACCACGGGTAGCCAGCCTATGTTTGAAAGTAGATTTGGGTTTATTTTCCTCAATTTGACGACTTCGGTATTATATTCGTATCCATAACATGCTATGTTTACGACACTCGTGCCTATATATCGGTATATCCCTCGCTCTCGCTCGGGAAATACCAGCATTTAGGCACTCGTGTCGTAAACATAGTATGACATGGACACTCATATAATATCCTCTATATGTGTAATAACATTGTAGATTTATTGAACAGTGATATCTTCAACGGGTGAGTAATAAATTAATTTGATAGTAAGTTTATTTGTTTCTTATCTAACGCCGCGCAGAGCAATGTTCCAGATTTACGAGGACCGCCTTGTGACAAAAGGGATGAAGTCAACTTTCGAGAAGTCTACTTTCACTTCATGTCGAGTCGAGCAACATTCCAACAGCTCCAGCCTTTAGTGTTGGGGCACAATCGAGTACGGGCTTTTTGGCAACATTTCAAAGAGCGTCATACGACTCTTGCTTAGAAGTTGTTCGATCAAGGTTTAAACATTCAAGGCCCCAGTAAAGCTTTCAAAACGTTTTGTGGAGGAAATTTCCAAATGTAATGCATCAGTGACACAAATGATGTCCAACGCATTCCCCATTTTGCCTTGAACCATACGTTCCCGATTTTGTTCAAAATAAAATTGCCCTTGCACGGGTGTCACAGATAAGGCAGAATACAGAAGAAATCACATATACGCAAACACCTGGTGTCATGACTATTAGATAGTAATGCATGAACACATGCTCTGTCATCGTCATTTCATGATATCAATCACTAAATTGTCTGGTCCAGACTTCAGACCCTTGCTATACAGTACAGCGTTAAACAAACGTACAATTGAAATTCCTTATGGTTGTGGAAAGGGTTTAGCATGACGTCCGAAAAGATATGTTAAAGGGTTTAGTATGACGTCCGAAAAGATATCTTTGATGTGGAAAGGGTTTAGCATGACGTCCGAAAAGATATGTTAAAGGGTTTAGTATGACGTCCGAAAAGATATCTTTGATGTGGAAAGGGTTTAGCATGACGTCCGAAAAGATATGTTAAAGGGTTTAGTATGACGTCCGAAAAGATATCTTTGATGTGGAAAGGGTTTAGCATAACGTCCGAAAAGATATCTTTGATGTGGAAAGGGTTAAGTATAACGTCTGAACAGATGTGTTTGATGTGGAAAGGGTTTAGTATAACGTCCGAAAAGATATGTTAAAGGGTTTAGTATGATCTCCAAATAGATATCTTTGATGTGGAAAGGGTTTAGCATGACGTCCGAAAAGATATCTTTGATGTGGAAAGGGTTTAGCATGACGTCCGAAAAGATATGTTAAAAGGGTTTAGTATGACGTCCGAAAAGATATCTTTGATGTGGAAAGGGTTTAGCATGACGTCCGAAAAGATATGTTAAAGGGTTTAGTATGATGTCGAATAGATATCTTTGAAAAAAGGGATTTAGTATATACGTCCGAAAAGATATGTTTGATGTGGAAAGGGTTTAGCATTACGTCCGAAAAGATATGTTAAAGGGTTTAGTATGACGTCCGAAAAGATATCTTTGATGTGGAAAGGGTTTAGCATGACGTCCGAAAAGATATCTTTGATGTGGAAAGGGTTTAGCATGACGTCCGAAAAGATATCTTTGATGTGGAAAGGGTTTAGCATGACGTCCGAAAAGATATGTTAAAGGGTTTAGTATGACGTCCGAAAAGATATCTTTGATGTGGAAAGGGTTTAGTATAACGTCCGAAAAGATATCTTTGATGTGGAAAGGGTTTAGCATGACGTCCGAAAAGATATGTTAAAGGGTTTAGTATGACGTCCGAAAAGATATCTTTGATGTGGAAAGGGTTTAGTATAACGTCCGAAAAGATATGTTAAAGGGTTTAGTATGACGTCCGAAAAGATATCTTTGATGTGGAAAGGGTTTAGTATAACGTCCGAAAAGATATCTTTGATGTGGAAAGGGTTTAGCATAACGTCCGAAAAGATATGTTAAAGGGTTTAGTATGACGTCCGAAAAGATATCTTTGATGCGGAAAGGGTTTAGCATGACGTCCGAAAAGATCTGTTAAAGGGTTTAGTATGACGTCCGAAAAGATATCTTTGATGTGGAAAGGGTTTAGCATAACGTCCGAAAAGATATGTTAAAGGGTTTAGTATGACGTCCGAAAAGATATCTTTGATGTGGAAAGGGTTTAGTACAACATCCGAAAAGATATGTTTGATGTGGAAAGGGTTAAGTATAACGTCTGAACAGATATGTTTGATGTGGAAAGGGTTGAGCATGACGTCCGAAAAGATATGTTAAAGGGTTAAGTATAACGTCTGAACAGATGTGTTTGATGTGGAAAGGGTTTTAGTATAACGTCCGAAAAGATATGTTAAAGGGTTTAGTATGATCTCCGAATAGATATCTTTGATGTGGAAAGGGTTTAGTATGACGTCCGAAAAGATATCTTTGATGTGGAAAGGGTTTAGCATAACGTCCGAAAAGATATGTTAAAGGGTTTAGTATGACGTCCGAAAAGATATCTTTGATGTGGAAAGGGTTTAGCATGACGTCCGAAAAGATATCTTTGATGTGGAAAGGGTTTAGCATGACGTCCGAAAAGATATCTTTGATGTGGAAAGGGTTTAGTATAACGTCCGAAAAGATATGTTAAAGGGTTTAGTATGACGTCCGAAAAGATATCTTTGATGTGTGAAGGGTTTAGTATCCAAAACGAGTTGTACAAGCAATAAAACGCGCGAGTTGTCTTTCTCGAAATAGTACATCTTAAAGACATTAGTGTCTGGTGTCAAATTTAATGCCAAATCGAGAGCAACGTTTGGTAGCATCAGTAGCCGACTGTATTTCCAAAACACATTGCTGGGACAGTCTTTCATTTTTATCACGCCTGCCAGTCTTGTGTTGGAGTGAGTGATTATGGTTTTACACCGCTTTTAGAAATATTCCAGCACAAATGGGCTTCACACATTGTACCCATATGGGGAATCGAACCTGGGTCTTCGGCGTTACGAGCGAACGCTTTAACCACTAGGCTTCCCACCGCCTCGTCTTGTGTTGAAGGAAAGCCCAAAGTAATGCAGGGCGCAGACGATTTCCGGTTGTGAAACAACTGGCAGTACGCAGGCATGTTTGGACCCTAGAATCAAATATTGATGAATACCCATTCGCTATGTGGGGCACCTTTGCGGTGCGGTTTGATATAAAATGTCAACTTGACGTTTCAAATTAAGCTGAACGCATTAACTCTAATTTTATTCTGACACCAGTAGCCATGTGTTCAATAAAATAACATTTGTCAAGTGTCGCTGAGACGATTAAGGTACAGAATGCCAGGGTAGAACAGTCCCTTGTCAACTACGGTTTCTTCTGGATTCTAATATATGTCAATCCAGACCTCCATTTGAAACTGAATCCACAGTTTAGTAGTAATGGTAGACTGATGTATCCAGTACAATATATCTTTCATTTGAGTTTTAAAATTGTTCGTAACAGACGTTTTTGTGAATGAAGTAGGGCATTTCGTTTACCGAACCATCTTCATTGTGAAATAAATTATGTTTAAATCATAATGAGTGAGAGAGTGAGATTAGTTTTACGCCGCTTCTAGCAATATTCAAGCTATATCACGTCGGGGTACACTAGAAATGGGCTTCACACATTGTACCCATCTGGGAAATCGAACCCAGGTCTTCGACGTGACAAGCAAACGCTTTTTCCACTAGGCTACCCGACCGCACCTTACATGATATTGTAAACCAATAGTGAGTGTTTTCCGCAATCTCATTGGTTCATTACCATTGTCGAATAGTTTTCGACATACCTGAAAATGATAGCCTAGCAACCGCACATTAATACGTTGGCACTAATACCGTACTACTTTCGCTCCATGAATTTGCATAATGGAGGAAGATTAGCACCTCATTTTTTTTTCTCGGGGATTTTGATACAATCTTTGAAGACGACAAATTCTTGGAAGAATTATTCGAAGATGATGGTGAGTACAATCACATGACACATAATCATATGTGATCAGAAAATTGTAAAGTGATTGAAGAGCCATAAGATAATATCCTTCAATGATGTTTATTCACAAATGAACTGCTATGCAAATTTGTACAATATTCGAAGTTTAAAGATTATTTTTCAGCCAAACAATATTAAGTTAATGATACTTGTTTCTAGATTTTGATCTTCCAAAAGACACCAATACCAGCACACCGGACGTTTCCACTTCCACTGGTAATTCCAGCTCCGTCTTGTCCACCGAGCGTCCCTCCAAAGTCCCGCTTTGCTAAGGTTGATGAGAATGGCCTGAGGGAAATAATTGATAGGTCATCATCGAAAGCAACTGGGAGTGAGAGAAAAAATACAAAACTCTTTAGTGAACCATTCGTGAAACTCTTTCAGGGAGCGGGTTACGTGGTGACGAATGTGCAACATTTAACATTTTGTAAACAAACCAAAAGGAAGTTACATGTCAGTTACCTCCCAGGGCTCCAGATAACGTTTCAACATCAGGGTACGTACTGCTAATTTCTTCAATATAGGAGTACTGTCAGTTACCTCCCTTTAGCTAGACTGTCACACTGTTTCTAAACACAATTATCAAAAGAATAAAAGCAAATATAGCTATTATTTCTCAAAAACAGCTTTCAACATGATTTACATCTGATCTAACACTGAATGATAATATCATGATATTCTAAAATAGCAAAAAATAATTACCACTCGGTAATCATGAAAACGTATTATAATGCAGTCTAGGAAATCCCACTGCCACAAGCCCAAGCATATCAAATCAATAAAAATCTTGAAATCTTACCTTTTGTGTTTGTTTTCCGTCCGCAGAATGGCTTCTGGAGGGTGGTCATCAAAAGGACTTTGATCATCTCTCAGTTGACAAACTCAACGATCTCCTCCGGAGCTTTTATGCCGAAGTCAGGGAAATTCGGACAACGTGTCGTCATATCTCAAATGTCAGCGTGTCGCCGACCGCTCGGTTGTGTTTCGATCTGAGCCCTCTTCTTCCCTATTGCCATCTTCTATTACTGGGATGTTTCAAATTCAGAATTCCACAATCATTGTAAATTTCGTAAACACACAGTAAGCCTAACAAATGAGGGGAATGACACCCTGGAAAGCATGCTTCCCCGGCCTGTTTGGACTAGTCCATTATTCGAGTCCATTGGCACTATGATCAAGCAATCTATAAAACATTGTTCATCTTATTTATATTTTCTTAACATAAATATTCTAATCTGTGATATGTTTAAGATTTACACTGTCATGTTATTAAAGTATCTTGAAAAAAATCTGTCTTTTGTTTATATTTCATCATCATCATCAAATAGCCCATCTCCCCTTTGAAAGAATGTAAGAACCCATCCGTTCTCCCATTCGTGACCAACTCGTGTTATTCCGGGACAAGCCGAATAGCGTTTACGGAAAGGGGCGAGTGGTGACGAATGCAGTTCTCATTGTCAGGTCAACGAATTCCAATGCGTGCTTTACTGACCTAATTGCGACCGATGACCTCGCCATACGAAAGAGTCCGTATTAAGAAAAAAAAACGTTTTTTCTGTAATTATGGTTTACAATATCGATAAAAAGTTACGTTTGTGAAACTTCCGGGATTCATTGTAATTCAACACCCGCAAATTTAAGCGTTTACAACCTCCGGCTAACGCTGATATATCCTATTTATCTTCTAAATAACATTTGATCTCATATACTTCATCTCTATGCTTGAATCACGCCTAATGGACCCATTATCAAATCTTGTGTTTTATCACAAGCATTTAACCGGATCAGACTGATGACAATCGTTACTGATTTCAAGAATACATCTATACGCCAGTAATCATAAATCAGAATTACAGAATTCTAGGTGAGGTGAGGTGAAATTGGGTTTTACGTCGTACTTGAGAATATTTCGCTCATATGACGACGTGCATGTGTGTGTAGGTGTATGTGCGGCTGCTTGTACTAGCCCCGACTTAAGCTGGTTTTATAGTGCGAGCCCACTGAGATACCATGCCGCAGTGAAGCATGAATACCCCACTCAGACACATTATACTGACTCCGAGCCGACCAGTCCTTGTTGTACCCATTAATGCCGAGCGCCAGGCAGGGACCAACAAGTACCATATTTTAACGTCTTTTGGTATGACGCGGTCGGGGATCGAACCCACGACCTTCCGCTCTCCGGGCGGACGCTCTAACCTCTACACCACGGAGGCAGTCACAGAATTCTAGAACATGCAGTTGAGTGAAAATGGCTTTAAGCTGCTTTTAGAAATATTCGAGCAATATTGCTGCAGGGACTCAAGCAATGAACTTCACTGTACATGGCGCTTAGACCGTGGTGGAGAACGAAGTTATGAACAGGACCCTGTCGTGTTTATGTTACGGAGAATGTGTGAAACCAGGGATTTCACGTAATGCCTAAAAGAGTAACTGATTTCGTGAAATCGCTGTGACCCCCAGAGATTTCATGTATTCCATAAAATTTGAAGGGATTTCATGAAATAACTGATGTTCATGGTGTTTCATTATACCCTCCATGTTAGGATATCCGTGAATGTACGAAATTAATGTTTGTAGCTTAAAACTTTACTGTTGAGTCTCATTTCACCCCTCAGGTCTTAGGAGTTGAAAACTTGGACTATTTACTGATGACACTAAGTCAAGCTAAGAGAGGGGAAATCACCGATAATATTCCAGTTGATATTTTGACAAATGACATCTGTATAGATTATCTTCATAAACTGTTTTCTACGTGTTATGGGACTGGTCATGTACCCTCCAGTTGGGTCCAGGGGATCATGAAATCCCTGAGTCAATATTTCAGCAATTTCATGAAATCGCTGGAAATTTGAGGGATTACGTGAAATCCCTGGTTTCACACATTCCCAGTAGCATATACATTATCGTCATACACATTAAATAAAAAAAGGAAATGTATTTCCCATTTCTGGTGTCCTCCGCCGTGATATTGTTGGAATATTGCAAAAAGGGGAATAAAACTAAACTCACTCACTCACTAATATGACGTGACTAAATGCCTTTAAGTATCACTTTACTGCATTGACGAGGCTGTAAACTGAAAAACCAGCGTAGCTAAGTTGCTCTTGCTTGTAAAGCTCTTGCTTGTAAATATGCCATATTTATATTAAATTTTATAAGTCACATTTATAACAATTGTGTGTGCTTGTAAAACGACATTTAGATGCATAAACTAGTGAGTAGAGATGTTCATTCGCGCGTGGTCCAACTTTCGACTGTTTTGTGATATGATTTTCATCAGGATACTGATCTTGAACGGCTTTGTTTCTGTTGAATTTCAATGCTGAATATCACTCTCTTCTTCCAGGTATTTCCCGTGTGGCAAGTTTGAGAGGTATGTTCGATGCTGAATTAAAAGCTCAGAACCCCTATCAGATGAATCGTGAAGGGCGGTGTGTGTGTGTGTGCGTGCGTCCGTCCGTCCGTGCGTGCGTGCGTGCGTGCGTGTCCTTCATGGTTCAACTTAACGTCAGAGAGAAATATCTGCAGCTCATATACTCATATACATTATACAACGTGTACTGTATACGTATTTGTAAATGCACTTCGATAAAGAGGCATAATATAAATATATATGTGTATTTTAGGATACATTTCAAAATATTGGATTTGCACTGACTGTTTTGAAGATATATACGGTGTGGTGTAAAGGTATTTCAACAGAGGGTATTCACTGTGTGTTTTGTAGATGCATTTAATGTAGGATTCTCTGTAAAAGGCAATTTCACTGTACACTGTGTGTTTTAGATGTTTTTCAACATGCTCTTTTACTGTGTGGTATTGAATATGTATTTCAATATAGTGTGTATTGTAAGTGAGTTTCACAATGCTATTTTTACTGCGTGTATTGTAAGTGCATTTCAACACGGTATACTCACTATGATATTTGTGGCTGTATTTCAACAGGATATATTCACTGTGTGCATTGTAAGTGCATCTCAACACTATATGTTGACTATGTGAGTGTATTGTAAGTGCGTCTCAACACTATACTCACTGTGTGCATTTCTACACTGTACACTGACTATGTGAGTGTATTGTAAGTGCATCTCAACACTGTATTCACTGTGTGCATTGTAAGTGCATTTGAACACTGTACACTGACTATGTGTGTGTATTGTAAGTGCATCTCAACACTGTACACTGACTATGTGAGTGTATTGTAAGTGCATCTCAACACTGTACACTGACTATGTGAGTGTATTGTAAGTGCATCTCAACACTGTACACTGACTATGTGAGTGTATTGTAAGTGCATCTCAACACTGTATTCACTGTGTGCATTGTAAGTGCATCTCAACACTGTACACTGACTATGTGAGTGTATTGTAAGTGCATCTCAACACTGTATTCACTGTGTGCATTGTAAGTGCATCTGAACACTGTACACTGACTATGTGAGTGTATTGTAAGTGCATCTCAACACTGTATTCACTGTGTGCATTGTAAGTGCATCTGAACACTGTACACTGACTATGTGGGTGTATTGTAAGTGCATCTCAACACTGTATTCACATTGTAAGTGCATCTGAACACTGTACACTGACTATGTGAGTGTATTGTAAGTGCATCTCAACACTGTATTCACTGTGTGCATTGTAAGTGCATGAACACTGTACACTGACTATGTGAGTGTATTGTAAGTGCATCTCAACACTGTACACTGACTATGTGAGTGTATTGTAAGTGCATCTCAACACTGTACACTGACTATGTGAGTGTATTGTAAGTGCATCAACACTGTACACTGACTATGTGAGTGTATTGTAAGTGCATCTCAACACTGTATTCACTGTGTGCATTGTAAGTGCATCTTCACTGTACACTGACTATGCAGTGTATTGTAAGTGTATCTCAACACTGTATTCATAGTGTGCATTGTAAGTGCACTTGTACATGCACAGTATATGAGTGTATTTCAATATAGTATTCAGTGTGTGTACACACTGTGTGTTGTGTACTTGATAGTTTCCATTGTGTGTGCACGAGATATATTTCAACGTTGAGGTATACACTGTACATACTAGAGACACATTTTAACACAGAGGGATACACTGTTTTTGTCGAACCGTATGGACACACCGTTGTCTTCATTGTGAAACACACCGTGTGATTTGCGCGTACACTTTGACATTCAGTACAATGTGCTGCTGGAATAAATATCTGCTCATGATATAGTATCAATTGTGCAGTCGACTCTGCTTTTGGCAGAGATATCTTATGAATGTGGAAAGGGTTTTGTCGGTTCTATTTACAGATTATATATATACGATCTGACATTGCGGATGTTGGTTTTAAGTGCCTTTTATTCCCAGGATTCAGTTTGGCAAGTTGGCCATATTTACATGTTGAACTCGTAAAATCTTTTTTGCTTCGTTTGACTGGATAATGTATTTTGAACATTGGTCTTGATTGTTTTTGTCGGTTTTTGAAGGACTAAAGACATCTGCTGCAATTGAAAACAGAAATGCCACAAACGTCGCCACTGCAAAAGTGCGAAAACATTCAAAAAGGGTCAAAGCTGCTAATGCAAGAAACAAGATCAAGCGGAAATCTAGGAAAGGCAAAGGCAAAACTGTCTCTAAAACAGGTAAATGTTATATTCTGCTCTTAAAACGTACAATCACATATAAATATTAAAGGCATTTCACAGTGTCAAAAACACATCATTGCCTCAATGGCATGCCCTGGACATTTCTCATGACTCTCACGACGTCATCACAATCCAACACCGAATATTCACAGTGTACACTGTAAGCGCATTTCAACATACGGTATATATACTCCTAGTTGGCCATATTTACATGTTCAACTTCTTTTGCATTTCCTTTCTGTGCACTTCAAGGATATCCAATCTCGCTTCCTCTAATTCACACGGTACATGAAGCCACCAACACACAGGTATCTTCCACCACGAGAAGGAAGAAATCTGTGATTTAACTGTGCATTTGCCATTTCGAAATTGAATGCAATATGTTCATCTTTGTCAAATTCACTCTCATGTGATGGCATTTTGAGTGAACAACCGTACGCGATGCTGACGTTATCGAAAATCTTAAAACAACACCAACTAGCCGATTAGCGTGACTCTAGCAACACCTTCAACATCAAAGTTTACCGCGGGTCGATTTCGTGTCCATAGCGAAATTTCAAAAGGTCGACTTCTTGTCCATATACTGACTTTGCAAATGGCGCTCATGACGTCATCCCAATCCATTGTGTGTATCGTGACAGCATTTCAACACTTTATATTCACTGTGTGTATTGTAAGTGCATTTCAACATACGTCATTCCGTGTCTGTGCTGTAGGTGTATTTGTGATTCATTTTGTGTACTGGAGTGGAGAGCTATTTCAACATTGAGGCACACATTAGGAGTTGTAAAGATACATTGTGTATACAACAGATATAGAACATTGGGGTATGTTCTGCAGTTACATTTCTAGTTAGAGGCATGAATTAGGAATATGTTAAAAATGCATTTCGAAATAAGGGTTTCACTGTATGTAATGTCGAACGAATTCTTACATTGCGGATATACATTGTGAATTGCGAGTACACTTGACATTCAATACAATCTTCGTATTACAGATGTATGTATACACTCTGATATTTCGGATGTTGGTTTCAATTGCCTTTTATCCTCAGGATTCCGTTTGGCTAGTTGGCCTTATTTACACGTTCAAATCGTAAAATGATATTGCTGTTTGACAACCCAAACTGGATTATACATTGTCAACATTGGTCTTGATTGTTTTGTCATTTTCATCGGTGTGTAAAGGACAAGAAGAATCGCCTGCAAGTGAAACAGACGAAGATGCCACCGGTGACAAAGTTACCCCTGCTCTTCGTGCCCAGAAAAAGCGAAAACGTTCAAGAAGGGTCAAAGCTGCTTGTGCAAGAAACAAACAGAAATCGAGGAAAGGCAAAGGCAAAGCTGTTTCTGAAACAGGTAAAAAGCTTTTTTCTATGCTTTTCACATGACGGTCATGGCGTCATCCCAATCCACTGTGTGTATAGTAAGTGCATTTCAACATTGTATATTCACTGTGTGTATAGCTAGTGCATTTCAACATATAGTATTCAATGCCTGTGTTGCTGGCTATTTCTACAAAGAAGTACACACTGTGTGTTTTGTAGATGCATTTGAACACACTGTATTCATATTCTCTAGTAGATTTCGATATAAAGGTACACACTGTGTGTTTTGTAGATGCACTTAAGCATACTGTATTCATATTCTATTCATATAAAGGTTCTATAGATGCATTTTATTTCGATATAATAGTAGATTATATAAAGGTGTGTGTTTTGTAGATGCACTTAAGCATACTGTATTCATACTGTATAGTACATTTCGATATAAAGGTACACCCTGTGTGTTTTGTAGATGCATTTTAGCATACTGTATTCATATTCTATAGTAGATTTCGATATAAAGGTACACACTGTGTGTTTTGTAGATGCATTTTAGCATACTGTATTCATATTCTATAGTACATTTCGATATAAAGGTACACACTGTGTGTTTTGTAGATGCATTTTAAGCATACTGTATTCATACTATATAGTAGATTTCGATATAAAGGTACACACTGTGTGTTTTGTAGATGCATTTTAGCATACTGTATTCATATTCTATAGTAGATTTCGATATAAAGGTACAAACTGTGTGTTTTGTAGATGCACTTAAGCATACTGTATTCATACTGTATAGTAGATTTCGATATAAAGGTACACACTGTGTGTTTTGTAGATGCATTTTAGCATACTGTATTCATATTCTATAGTAGATTTCGATATAAAGGTACACACTGTGTGTTTTGTAGATGCACTTAAGCATACTGTATTCATACTGTATAGTACATTTCGATATAAAGGTACACCCTGTGTGTTTTGTAGATGCATTTTAGCATACTGTATTCATACTATATAGTAGATTTCGATGTAAAGGTACACACTGTGTGTAGTGGAGATGCATTGTGCACACAAGAGATATAGTTCAACATTGGGGCATACACTCTATGGGCAGCAGAAATTGGTCTTATTACTTTTTGTCCTCAGGATTCTGTTTGGCAAGTTGGCCATATTTACACGTTCGACGCGTACAATGATATTTCTGTTTGACAACAAAACTGGATTATACATTGTCAACATTGGTCTTGATTGTTTTTGTCATTTCCATCGGTGTGTAAAGGACAAGAAGAATCGCCTGCAAGTGAAACAGACGAAGATGCCACCGGTGACAAAATTACCATTGCTGTTCAGAAAAAGCGAAAACGTTCAAGAAGGGTCAAAGCTGCTCGTGCAGGAAACAAACAGAAATCGAGGAAAGGCAAAGGCAAAGGCAAAGCTGTTTCTGAAACAGGTAAAAAGCTTTTTTCTATGCTTTTCACATGACGCTCATGACGTCATCCCAATCCACTGTGTGTATAGTAAGTGCATTTCAACATGGTATATTCACTGTGTGTATAGCTAGTGCATTTCAACATATAGTATTCTATGCCTGTGTTGTTGGCTATTTCCATAAAGAAGTACACACTGTGTGTTTTGTAGATGCATTTGAACACACTGTATTCCTATTCTATAGTAGATTTCGATATAAAGGTACACACTGTGTGTAGTGGAGATGCATTGTGCACACAAGAGATATAGTTCAACATTGGGGCATACACTCTATGTGCAGCAGAAATTGGTCTTATTACTTTTTGTCCTCAGGATTCTGTTTGGCAAGTTGGCCATATTTACACGTTCAACTCGTACAATGATATATTTCTGTTTGACAACAAAACTGGATTATACATTGTCAACATTGGTCTTGATTGTTATCCCCCGCCGCGCGAAGCGGGGGATATAGTATTGGACTCCGTCCGTCCGTCCGTACGTACGAATTGGAATATCTTAAGAACCGTTCACTAGATTCTTTTCATATTTGGTACCTAGGTTCATCACACTATAAGAAAGGTCCAAGTCAGGTTTGGTGACCTTGACCTTCATTTCAAGGTCACAAGGGGACTTTCACGTTTTACCTGCATGTTAAGCTATCTCAAGAACTGTTCTCTGGATTGTCTTCATATGCAATACCAAGCTTTATCTAGGGAATGCGCAGGGCCCAGTCGATTTTGGTGACCTTGACATAATTTTCAAGGTCATGGCGACACTTTGAAGATTTCAGCATGTAAACCTGCATGTTAAGCTATCTCAATAACCGCTCACTGGATTTTCTTTATTAATATTTAACACCAAGCTTTATCCAGGGAAGGCGCAGGGCCCCGTCAATTTTGGTGACCGTCACTTAATTTTTAAGGTCACAGAGACACTTTGAAGATTTCAGTGTGTTAAATTGCTTGTTAAGATAGTCAGCAAGATATCGCAAAAAATAGTCAGTGGATTTTCTTCATATTGGACACCAAGCTTCATCTAGGTAAGGCCCAGGGCCCAGTCAATTTTGGTGACGTTCACATAAGTTTTAGGGTCACGACGACACTATGAAGATTTCAGAATGTGAACCTGAATTGTCAGCAAGATATAAAAGAACGGTTCACTGGATTTTCTTCATAGACTTTCAAGACCTCCCTTGGATGTTTTTCAATAAGCAATTTCTTTAGTACTAGTTTTGCATTTTTCATACACTATGACATTCATGTCAAGGTCAAAGTCAGTTTTGAAAATATGTGTGTGTTTGAACATCTAAAGAGCAAGATAATGTTTTTGTTGACATTTAACTTCATCTTAAAGTTTCATTACTTTATAACTTTGATTTGATAATTTGCGGCGGGGGATTATGTCACCTTAGTGACAATGCTTGTTTTTGTCATTTTCATCGGTGTGTAAAGGACAAGAAGAATCGCCTGCAAGTGAAACAGACGAAGATGCCACCGGCGCCAAAGTTACCCCTGCTCTTCGTGCCCAGAAAAAGCGAAAACGTTCAAGAAGGGTCAAAGCTGCTCGTGCAAGAAACAAACAGAAATCGAGGAAAGGCAAAGGCAAAGGCAAAGGCAAAGCTGTTTCTGAAACAGGTAAAAAGCTTTTTTCTATGCTTTTCACATGACGGTCATGACGTCATCCCAATCCACTGTGTGTATAGTAAGTGCATTTCAACATGGTATATTCACTGTGTGTATAGCAAGTGCATTTCAACATATAGTATTCAATGCCTGTGTTGTTGGCTTTTTCCATAAAGAAGTACCCACTGTGTGTTTTGTAGATGCATTTAAACATAGTATTCATATTCTATAGTAGATTACGACATAAAGGTACACACTGTGTGTAGTGGAGATGCATTGTGCACACAAGAGATATAGCTCAACATTGGGGCATACTCACACTATGAGCAGCAGAAATTGGTCTTTTTGTCCTCGGGATACAGTTTGGCAAGTTGGCCATATCTACATGTTCTGCTCGTAAAATTATATTGCTGTTTGGCCACAAGAGCTTGATTATGTATTTTGAACATTGGTCTTGATTGTTTTTGTCATTTTCATCGGTGTGTAAAGGACAAGAAGAACCGCCTGCAATTGAAACAGACGAAGATGCCACCGGTGCCAAAGTCCCAGACAAAGTTACCCCTGCTCTTCGTGCCCAGAAAAAGCGAAAACGTTCAAAAAGGGTCAAAGCTGCTCGTGCAGGAAACAAACAGAAATCAAGGAAAGGCAAAGGCAAAGCTGTTTCTGAAACAGGTAAAAAGCTATTTTCTATGCTTTCATTCAACATTCTCTCTCTCTCTCTCTCTCTCACACACACACACACACACACACCGCACGCACGCACAGACACACATCCACTCACACACTTACTTTTCTGCCTCAAAGAGGTGGAACGTCACGGTTTAACTGAAAGTCAGTTTTAAGCTTCGTCAATAATATATCCTTCAATCACTCAATCATCAAAGTAAACATCTGCAATGCATGTACCTCTTCTCCTCTGTATTTAGCTGTAAATGGAATACTCATACTCACGTTTTTATATCTACAGACACCGATGAAGATCTCATGGACCCAGTGGACACAGCCGATGAAGAGAACACGGGTTAGAATTAATCTTTAGCCACTCATTGTTGTCGTGAGAGGCAACTAACGGCATCGGGTGACTCGCTGACTGGGTTGACACACCCCGTTTCAATATCGTGATCGATGCTGATGATGTTGATCACTGGATTGTCTGGTCCAGACTCGATTATTTACAGACCTCCGTCATATAGCTGGAATATTGCTGAGTGCGGCGTTAAACACAAACATTTACAGACAAATGCTCCTTGAGGGCGTCGAGATTCACCTTCTGCTTTTCATTGTCGTTGTATTTACATATCTCTTTGGGTGAATGCCCACGTTGGTGTTGAGAAAATCGGACACAGTTTTAAAAGAAAACCTCCATGTTTCAGCTCGACGCAAGAGGCGATCACTACCTAGGACAAAGTGTGAGTATGCAGAAACAGAGCAGAATATTTCGCAGACTGGTATTTGTATAACGAGTGAATGAGTTTAGTCTTTACGCCGTTGACAGCAATATTCCAGCAATAGCACGACGGGGGACACCAGAAATGGAGTTCCACATTGTGCCCATGTGGGGAATCAAACCCGGGTCTTCGGCGTGACAAGCGAACGCTTTAACCAGAGGGCTACCCCAACAACTATCAATTGTCCGTCAGGCCACGATGTCACCTTTATTGAGCACCCATAAGTGCAGGCCCGTAAAGTGTTTTGGCCATCATGTACCTGTACATTTCCATCAAAGCAGAAAATTTGCATTTGTTTGGCTTTTCTATTTCTTTGTTCATTTGTTATTCTTTTCTTTCTTTCTTTTTATTTTATTTTAATTTTTAAATTTAATTTTAATTTAATCCTTTTTGTTTGGGTTATTTTTAACGCCGCACCTAGTTAGACAAAGGCGAGCCGAACCTGATCCCTTCAGTCCGATTTTACGACAAGCATATGTTGATGAAGACCAATCCAAGACGATATGGTCTGATGATATTCATCTCAAGCAGCTCTTCATTATCTGCTCTCTTGTGAAATTAATGTTGAAAAGGCAAACAAGATATAGGTGTTTACTTCAGCTATTATGTGTCATGAATAGTCTGTACTATTGCTCCAGAAAAATAGTTTCAGTAACAAACATATCTGCAATACAGTCCGCTGGCCTTATTTCCTGAAAGTACTTGAAATACAGTGACCGAAATAACTGGCTGCATACATATGTAGGTCTGCTTCGTGGAATCGACTAAATTTTATATTCAATGTGGATATTCCAGGGATGAAGAAAATGAAGACTCACTTCAAAGGTTGGTTCCTAACGATGTTCAAAGTATTTAAAGGTTTATTCCAGCTATAAGGATTACATCCTCGATAATCTCCAGGGTATACGTTACGATCACTCTCCACTATACCCTGGATGCATCCACGGCTTGGGGCGATGATTTTATTACCTCCCTTGGCTGGCTTTTTATCCAATTAGGTGTCTACGCTGGGAAGTTGAGCGTACCAACTCACTTTCGCTTCTTAAATTATCTAACCGTTTAAACTTGGCAACACAATTGATGCAGAGGTACTCTGAAAGAAGTAGAAGCAGTTCTTTCACATATTTTTTGAAAGTTTCAAATCTGTGAATTTGTCTTTATAATTTCCCCCAAAATCTGATTGGCACTGCGAACAAACCTTCGCGACTGCGACCGCTATCTTTGTTGACACTGGAAGCTCGGTTGTAACGGCGGCTTAGCTGATTGGCTACTGTGAGAAATGCGGAGTCAGCCAACGGAGGAAATAAAATCATCTCCCCAAGCCGTGGATGCATCCAGGGTATAGTGGAGAGTGATCGTAACGTATACCCTGGAGATAATCGAGGATGTAAGGATTATCTTTTTTCCCATTATTCGTTTATGAATAGAAAACACGATTCTAATCAGTTGTCCATGCTTCCGAAAACCTTGTCCTGAAGAGGAACGCTTGATGTCCTCAGGGAGACCTTCATGTTGTGTCTTGCAATTGGAACTGATCCTCACAGGAGTAATGAACTCTGTGTGTGATTAATTCAGAACCTCTTAGGCTTGGTTCCCATTTACCCATCCAGAGACAGAAAAGGGGTTCGGTCGGGGAAAGTCAAAACGTCGGTAACGGTCGCCTCTGAGGATCCGTGGCGTATCGAAAATGAATTTAAACTTAGCGATAATCTGTGACGAAGTAAAATTTCAAACGACATGATTTTAGACGCACACGTTGTATGATAACTGGTGAAAGTGAAACATTAAACGGTTAACACTCCGCAAAGTCAATTTGACCTCTAAAATATTATATTATATTATATTATATTATATTATATTATATTATATTATATTAGATGAACAGTAAAATCTTTCTTTTTGCCAAGTCGAATTGCACAAAAATAATGTCTGAGATATGACTTCGGCACAATAGTCTGTATGGAAACGTTTCACTCACGAAATGAAAAACGTTATCCATATGTTTGTCAATAATTGACGTGGCTTTGATTGTGTTTGTGACAGAAGTCACCAATGGAGCAAAATACACTCACCTTTTCACAATGACCTCGTATCATTAATTGATAAATATTGCCAAAGATCGTACTATGGAATCTAAAACCTTTGATGTTGGAAATAGCCTGTGTCGCCTTTGCTTAATTATATCGTTGGTAATATATCTACTTGGAAAATTAGTACGATTTCATTATTGTGTCTTTAATATTTATTCATAATCTCGCCTTCTCTTTAATTATGATAATCCTTATAATCAAAAACATGTTAAATGAGCAATACTATCATATGCTTAACTCCATATACATTGAAATGTTCATCATCACCATGCAATAGGTATGAAAGAAAAGACAGCAAAACGGATGTCGAAACTGAAGAAAAAGATTCATGGTACGTAAAAATATTATTTCATTATTATTGCCGATTGCATGTATAATGGTCACATAGCTATGATTAAGGATAAGGTTGTTTTGTCTTAATATTTTAGACTTGTTTACTTCGAATATTGTTCAACACAGTTATTGACATGATGTTTAACGAATGAATGTTTATGATAGCAATTGAAATTGAAAATCAGTCAAAAAATATGACAAATAGAAAATCCGACGTACATCTTAATGTCGTTAAAGCCATTGATTTGTTACCACCCAAACACATTTTCTAATTGTATTCTGATTATTTTCCTCTTCATTGGAAAAAATATTTTCAAAATCCCGTATTTATTAATGCATCGTTAGTAGTCGACTGAACACTGGACAGAAGTGCCATATTGTTTGAGAATAAAGCACCCCAGCTTCAACATAAACTGACCAGTCAAAGAAATATAGCTTGTGAATTCGATCAACAGTTAGTCGTATCAATCCATTGAAGTATTTGGAAACGACTGACTAAACGCAGCCAACATGTGTGAATTACTCCAATTTGCAAGTCATTGCCTTTTGGAGATTTTGACAAGATCTAACACCAATGCCAGTCCAAGGAGCGGCAGATTCACGTAAGGAACCAGTTCCTGGCAATGAGTATCGGCCATGATAGCGTAAGGCCATTGTGTCAGTTTGTTGACAGCTATATGGCGGCCGTCCGTACATAACTGAGTCAGGACCACTCATGAGCATCGACCTACGCAATTGGGATACGATAACCACCAAGTCGGCGAGCCTGATCACCCGCCTCTCATGACAAACATGGATTGCTAAAGACCAACTGTAACTCGGATCTTCACTAGTACAATGTCTGTCGTATCAACCCCCTTCAACGTGGTCAGGAGACTACAGGTTGGGGATAATCGACCGACCCTTCTGTAGAATGACCTTGACCGGTCTGAGGGTGCTGTTCACAGATGAAAGACGATTTAACATCTTCCATGTAGATGGCAAGGTTGAAGTGTATCGCCGTGGAGGCGATAAGTTAGCACCAAATCTTCACGGATGTCTGGCTGTTTGGTGGAGGAGGTATCACAGCATGGGTGGGGTCCATTGCCATCAGAGGACACGTTTTGTCCTTTATGACCAGGGGTAGGCGGTTCCATTTGTTTGTCAGCGTTCTCCTGAGGTGCTCTCTAACAGCGTGCCATTGTCCAAAACGATCTTAGTGCTAAGGTGAAAGTAACTCCTATGACTTAACATTGAAGTACGCCCGACTTAACGCGAAGGATGTTTTGCACAACGGCGCCCAAGACGACTCCAGAACCCTTTTCACCAGACTGACACAAGACCTTCTGGAAAGAAGTATTCTTCTTCTTTTTCCCTCAAAACCTGAACACCTTGGAGGCCACTTGGGAAGACGTCTCATTACACGAGTGCCAGGCCACTGAAATCATTGAGGAGACTCCAAGTTCCTTCAGCTTGCTGTCGTACAACATAATGAAGCTGTATGCTGGGGTCGTTTTCATTTTTCAGCATTTACATTGTTGCGTTGTAAAAAACAGACGAAGCCTCTTGCTGACCCCTTCTATGCTTGATTGCCTTTACATTATCATCGTTTAACATTCCTGAAAGGATATATTGTACAATATATTGTATCAAAATCGGCTGTTTGGTTTGTATTATATTGTCGGATAATTCCAATGCTTATTTTATTTGGTTGGTCTGTTTATGTTTGAAACACCTTCTTCAGACAACCGTGGAAGCAAAATGTTTTTCTTAAAGATTTATAATTACCCTGAAAATACCTAACTATGTTTTTGTAAATTACCAAATGTATTAATGGTTTTAAGCAATCCAGGTGACCCTTCAATATGCAAAATTTATTGACCAACTTTGGTTCTCTGATTGAGTCATTATCCTTACAAATAACAGAAGAGAATGAAAGGACGGCAGAAAGAATGAAGGAACTGAAGGATAAAGTTCACGGTACGACAAATCTATACATCTACTTTCTCATTCTTGTGACACTCTTTGTTTATATTCAGCAAAGACGCTGACTTATATCACTCATCCACTTGGTGAAGCAAAATGAATTCATATTGGAGGAGGTATCACAGCATGGGTGGGGTCCATTGCCATCAGAGGACACGTTTTGTCCTTTATGACCAGGGGTAGGCGGTTCCATTTGTTTGTCAGCGTTCTCCTGAGGTGCTCTCTAACAGCGTGCCATTGTCCAAAACGATCTTAGTGCTAAGGTGAAAGTAACTCCTATGACTTAACATTGAAGTACGCCCGTCTTAACGCGAAGGATGTTTTGCACAACGGCGCCCAAGACGACTCCAGAACCCTTTTCACCAGACTGACACAAGACCTTCTGGACAGAAGTATTCTTCTTCTTTTTCCCTCAAAACCTGAACACCTTGGAGGCCACTTGGGAAGACGTCTCATTACACGAGTGCCAGGCCACTGAAATCATTGAGGAGACTCCAAGTTCCTTCAGCTTGCTGTCGTACAACATAATGAAGCTGTATGCTGGGGTCGTTTTCATTTTTCAGCATTTACATTGTTGCGTTGTAAAAAACAGACAAAGCCTCTTGCTGACAAACAAACACCCAACCCCACCCCCCAATGCTTGATTGCCTTTACATTATCATCGTTTAACATTCCTGAAAGGATATATTGTACAATATATTGTATCGGCTTTTTGGTTTGTATTATATTGTCGGATAATTCCAATGCTTATTTTATTTGGTTGGTCTGTTTATGTTTGAAACACCTTCTTCAGACAACTGTGGAAGCAAAATGTTTTTCTTAAAGATTTATAATTACCCTGAAAATACCTAACTATGTTTTTGTAAATTACCAAATGTATTAATGGTTTTAAGCAATCCAGGTGACCCTTCAATATGCAAAATTTATTGACCAACTTTGGTTCTCTGATTGAGTCATTATCCTTACACATAACAGAAGAGAATGAAAGGACGGCAGAAAGAATGGAGGAACTGAAGGATAAAGTTCACGGTACGACAAATCTATACATCTACTTTCTCATTCTTGTGACACTTGCTTTGTTTATATTCAGCAAAGACGCTGACTTATATCACTCATCCACTTGGTGAAGCAAAATGAATTCATATTTTCTACACTGAAACATTGTAAAGAAGGCTGGCTGCGTCCTAACTGCATCATCAAGATTAACATTATCACGATTTGGTCATCTCCATTCATTTGTTCAAGAGCGATTTTTTTCGTATCCGAAAAACAAGTTTGGAGATTTTCCCCTGAATCTTCCAAACAAACGGGTTGTGTTTTGGACCTTCAGTTTGCAATGTTTTGGCAACTATTGCCAACCTTGAACGTTCCCATAACATTTGTATTTCAATGCAGTTACTCAACAATTTCTGTAAACTCTATTCTGTGGTATTGTGAAATCTGTGCTTAGCGTGTTCTCATCCACATTTCATTTTCAGGTCTCATTCACAAAGAGTCTGATGACGACGATGGTAAGGCTATCTCTTGTGATATATTTATCGGAGCTTGGTTGTCATTGCTTGTGTCAGTATGGAATTGGGGAAAAACGTTAACGCCTTAAAAACTTAGAACGCCCTATCCACCAGGCTAACCCTCCGTGGTTATATAGATTGAACGTCCGCTCGGGGAGTGAAATATCTCCTCAAAGATGGTAATTATTGTTACCCTGCCTTGCGCTCGGCATTAAGGGAATATAACAATTACAGGTCGGGACGGAGTCAGTATGCTAAATATGATTGAGGTATCAATGTTCAAATGCGGTTTCTACCAGTACTTCAATACCGGTATTTATCAGGACAGGTAACCACACGCACGCACGCATGCACACACACACCCTTTTGAAAGCAGCTGGTGTCATAACATTTTTGCTTTTTATGCCGAATGAAAGCTAATTTGCAGATACTGGCTAAGGCGAAATTTGAATTTACAATGCGTGATATAAATTAAACTATATCTGTTGATGATCAGACTATGAGGATGCTGACTATGACGATGGTGACTTCGAACTTGCTGACGCTGGTAAGGATTATGACGATGTTTTGGACTTTGGAGAGGACGAGGACGAGGACGAGGACGAAGGCAAACCAGAGAAAAAATCTCTGAATGAGAGATTTAAGGGTACGTTCATAATCTCTGAATCAAGTTGAATGGGTGGCGTACCTGGTAGAGCAGTAACTTGCCTTTCAGATGATCCGAAATCCGTTCTTCAGTACATTGCAGCACTTCATGAGCTTTAACTGATCCATTCCTGTAATTTTCATGAATGAATTTTCATTTTGATTTTTATACCCACAGGAATCTGTTTCATTGCATTGTCATAAAAGGCGACTAACGGGATGTCACTAACACATGTCAACGTATCCCAGTTGCGAAGATCGATGCTCATGCTGTTGATCACTGGATTATCTGATCCAGACTCGATTATTTACAGACCGCCGCCATATAGCTGGAATCTTGCTGAGTGCGGCGTAAAACTAAACTCACTCACTCAACGTTTCATTGGATGATCGAAATGATTCTCTGGCGTTGACGACTTATATTTGCATGCGCCACGTGTGATACTGAAACAAAGTTTGAAGTAAAGGTCCACAATAGTTATGCACGTGTTGCACAAGAAATATTGACGATGAAATTCGGGCGTTCAATGGTCCGATCTCGCATTGCAACCATATGTTATTAACAGTTATTGAGGCGCCTAGTGTATATAGAACCTAGTGAAATATTCAAAACATTGCGTTTATTAAGGAGGAATGAACGTGTGGGATTTGTTTTTATTTGTTTGTTTTTTGTTTCGTGTTTAAAACAATGGAATAATTTGTGTATAATCTTGGTAAGAACATTGAAGCGCAATATTCAGATACAAAAGTATGTTGAATTTCTCATGGATTTGCAATGATGCGAAAAGCTGGTCCACATCTATTAGAGAGGTAGGGGGGTAGCCTAGTGGTTAAAGCGCTCGCTCGTTACGCCAAAGACCCGGGTTCGATTCCCCACATGGGTACAATGTGTGAAACCCATTTCTGGTGTCCCCCGCCGTGATATTGCATGAATGTTGCTAAAAGCGGCGTAAAACTTAACTCACTCGCTCACTATTTCTTTAGAATAAGTATGTGGACCTGGGATTGCGCATGCTCAGAACGCAGATGTCATGTTTTCGATGTCATGACTATTTGAAAGTGTTTTTGATACTGTGGCAGTTGGACTTATATTTACTTAATATTTCAGAGTTTCAAAAGAAAACAGCACAGCATTTCGCAGGACTTCATGGTAAACTTAAAGGTTGATGGCACGCTGCCATATATCAGGTTGGTTCTATAGAACTGTAGCAAACCCGGTAGGGTCATTGTCAACAGAACTGTAAAACACCAGTGGGTTCACTGTCAACATAACTGTAGCTTTCGAGTTAAGTTAACAGTTAAGATGACTAGAATCACTGTCAACAGAAACTGTAACCCACCAGGTTGGTTCACTATCAACACTACTCTAGCACACCAGGTTGGTTCACTATCAACACTACTCTAGCACACCAGGTTGGTTCACTATCAACCAGTACACTGGGTAGGTTCACTGTCAACACAACTGTAGCACACCAGGTTGGTTCACTGTCAACACAACTGTAGCACACCAGGTTGGTTCACTATCAACACTACTCTAGCACACCAGGTTGGTTCAGTTTCAACACTACTCTAGCACACCAGGTAGGTTCACTATCAACAGAAGCTGCAGTACACTGGGTAGGTTCACTGTCAACAGAAACTGTAATACAGGTTGGTTCACTATCAACACTACTCTAGCACACCAGGTTGGTTCACTATCAACCAGTACAGTGGGTAGGTTCACTGTCAACACAACTGTAGCACACCAGGTTGGTTCACTATCAACCAGTACACTGGGTAGGTTCACTATCAACACTACTCTAGCACACCAGGTTGGTTCACTATCAACACTACTCTAGCACACCAGGTTGGTTCACTATCAACCAGTACACTGGGTAGGTTCACTATCAACACTACTCTAGCACACCAGGTTGGTTCACTATCAACACTACTCTAGCACACCAGGTTGGTTCACTATCAACCAGTACAGTGGGTAGGTTCACTGTCAACACAACTGTAGCACACCAGGTTGGTTCACTGTCAACACAACTGTAGCACACCAGGTTGGTTCACTATCAACCAGTACACTGGGTAGGTTCACTATCAACACTACTCTAGCACACCAGGTTGGTTCACTAACAACAGAAGCTGCAGTACACTGGGTACGTTCACTGTCAACAGAAACTGTAACACACCAGGTTGGTTCACTATCAACACTACTCTAGCACACCAGGTTGGTTCACTATCAACACCACTCTAGCACACCAGGTTGGTTCACTATCAACACCACTCTAGCACACCAGGTTGGTTCACTATCAACACTACTCTAGCACAACAGGTTGGTTCACTATCAACAGAAGCTGCAGTACACTGGGTACGTTCACTGTCAACAGAAACTGTAACACACCAGGTTGGTTCACTATCAACACTACTCTAGCACACCAGGTTGGTTCACTATCAACACTACTCTAGCACACCAGGTTGGTTCACTTTCAACAGAAGTACACTGGGTACGTTCACTGTCAACAGAAACTGTAGCACACCAGGTTGGTTCACTATCAACACTACTCTAGCACACCAGGTTGGTTCACTGTCAACACTACTCTAGCACACCGGGTTGGTTCACTATCAACACTACTCTAGCACACCAGGTAGGTTCACTAACAACAGAAGCTGCAGTACACTGGGTACGTTCACTGTCAACAGAAACTGTAGCACACCAGGTTGGTTCACTATCAACACTACTCTAGCACACCAGGTTGGTTCACTATCAACACTACTCTAGCACACCAGGCTGGTTCACTATCAACAGAAGCTGCAGTACACTGGGTAGGTTCACTGTCAACACAACTGTAGCACACCAGGGAGGTTCATTGTCAACACAACTGTAGCACAAAAAGTAAGTTCACTGTCAACACAACTGTAGCACACCAGGTTGGTTTTCCATCAACACAACTGTAGCACAAAAAGTAGGTTCACTGTGAACAGAACTGCAGTATATCATCTTAATTTCACTGTCAATACAACTGTAGCACACAAGGTAGGTTCACTATCAATACAAGTGTAGCACATAAGGTAGGTTCACTGTTAACACAACTGTAGCACAAAAAGTAGGTTCACTGTCAACAGAACTGTAGTATATCATCTTAATTTCACTGACAACACAACTGTAGCACACCCGATTGGTTCGGCATTAACATTAATGTGGCACACCAGGTAGGCTCACTATTAAAAGAACTGTAGCAAACAGGGTATTTTTACAGTCAATAGATACTAAATTTGTTTTCTAAATTCTGATTGTAAATGAACGCAAATGTAAATATATTTTAAAACAAAAGCTTCTTTACTGACGACATTAGATCATACACTTGATCCAGATTCGAACCCAGTCATATTTAAGTTAAGTAGCAGATTACTTGTTGCTCTGTGTATGTTCATTTGCAGTCATTCCTGTTTTCCTTGTTTCAGGGCACAAGAGGGAAAAGCCATTCGTTAATGGAAACTAACAATTGTAGTTGAATCAATAAAGACAGTGACGCAATGGTTTGTTTGTTGTGATTTGTTTGTTGTTTAACGCCAGCACCGCAGATTTTTCAGTCTCTAAGTAATCACGGCTGGGCACACAAACCAGTGACTGACATCATGAGCATCAATTCATGCATATGGGATGCAGTGGCATGTGATCAACCAAGTCAGCGAGACTGGCCACCCGATCCCGTTTGTCGCCTCTTACGACAAGCATGGGTTGCTGAATCCCTATTCTAACCCGGATCTTCACGGGTGGATCTGTTCATTTAGTCACGGATGGCAACCTTGCTGTTACGATAATCATCGGGCTTTTTCTTCCTCGAAATACCCAGGGGATATATTTGCAACCCATGTGTTTCCACAAACCAGAAGACCGCCTCCGTGGTGTAGTGGTTAGAGCGTCCGCCCGGAGAGCGGAAGGTCGCGGGTTCGATCCCCGACCGCGTCATACCAAAAGACGTTAAAATATGGTACTTGTTGGTCCCTGCCAGGCGCTCGGCATTAATGGGTACAACAAGGACTGGTCGGCTCGGAGTCAGTATAATGCGTCTGAGTGGGGTATTCATGCTTCACTGCGGCATGGTATCTCAGTGGGCTAGCACTATAAAACCAGCTTCAGTCTGGGCTAGTACAAGCAGCCGCACATACACATACACACGCATGCACGTCGTCACATGAGCGAAATATTCTCAAGCACGACGTAAAAACCCAATTTCACCTCACCTCACAAACCAGAACTGATGTACTAAAGAGTCATTTGAAAACCTAATGGTGCCACTTTGGTAGCATAAATTATATACGAATTAATTATAATTAAATAATTACATGTATTTTAAACACAATTGAAATAACGAGACCTACTTACTTAATCCTCTTCGTGCTCTTAGCACATAATGCCGATGCTAGAGTTTTCCAATGCTGTATATCCTGGGCCCAGTGCTGCACCTGAAATAACGAGACACTTCGGTTTAGCATAACAGCGTTTGATTCCACAGTGGCTCGATACAGCCTTTGTATTTCAGTGACACTGCATGGAATTTAGAAATGTAACTAGAATGGACTTTCGCTAATTACATGATGCCGGAATGCATCTTGGTTTCTCATTATGGTAGCTTGAGGCAAGGCACTTTTTCTGGTTGACCTGTTGAAAACATGCATTTATCCCAAGTCGGAAGTAATTATCACACTGGATATGCATGGAAATCTTAGACGTTTCTTGGGAATATGGACATGGTGGTATGAAATGGCCAGTTGTTTATGTTGAAGAGCACGTTCTTTTTGGTTGTTTTTACATAATTAGACATAGCGAAAACTGTCATCTTACACCCCTTATTCCACGCTCATGGGTGTCAACCAGAATGAGACTTGTGACGTCGTGTGTGTGCTGTCTGATTGAACTTTAAAAAAACTTGTATCTTTGCTCATGCTATCAACCTCTGTTATCCTGTTCAGATTCCAAACTTTACTGTTTTATACAACTTGAATATAATTGATTGGAATGTGTCGCAATGTTTCACTCACTCAATCCCCACTCACTCATTCACCCGCCCACACATCCACTCACTCACTCAATCACTCACCAACCCACCCACCCACCCACCCACTCAATCCCTAACTCACTCACTCATTCACCCATTACCCCACACACCCACTCACTCACTTACTCACTCACCCACCCACGCACCCACCCACTCACTCAATCCCCAACTCACTCACTCATTAACCATTACCCCACACACCTACTCACTCACTCACTCACTCACGCCATAGGACGAGTTTCAGGTGCTTTGAATGTGTCAGGCATTAGGATGTTTACCATTTTGGTGAAATACATCAGCAGGTTCTAACCCTTGAAACATAATGAGAGTGAGTCGTGAATTCGAATCTGAGAACACAGATTTCTGACATACCCTAGGATAGCAACTCCTTTCCATGACTCGCGACGCCTTAGACGACAAGACCCGTTCAAGACCCGTTCAAGACCCATTCACTAGACCGTTATCACCTTTCCTGGAAACTTTCCATTTCAGATTACACGTTTTTTGCTTTACACCTAGACCTCCTGTCTCATCCCGGACACGCTGACACGGAACGAACCAAAATACCGAAGGCTCTCATTTCAAGTGAACTGAAATTCTTAAGAGGCAATTGATTTCCACTAATTTCATTATTTCAAATTAAGGGGTCATGGCAGTTGCACATATTCCGTTTCTCACGCTCGGTAGCCAAAACCTTTGTATTTACTATGTTCATTGCGTCATGCCTGTCCATATTAATTAATGCACAATAGTAACTCCGCATCGAACTACGTCAAATGTTAATGTCTTCTGCCACTACATGGTCTACGTGCGGTTTACGGAATATTTCAAGGTGAAACCATTCACACATGCAGGATAATTACGTCTCACATGTAACTTTGTACGTTAACGAGGACCTGCTCAGTTGCCAAGGTCTCCTGTGAATATTGTTGTAACTGTTGTTTACATATTGAGGACAACCCTACAGTAGAGGGTGTTCCAACAGTTGCCTCCGAACGTCATCATGGCTCGGGTGGCTGTTCTGATCCTCTTGGTAGTCCTCCAGTTGGCCCTCCTGGCTCAGCTTGGATCATCCCATGAGAAATACAGAACTAAGGGTAAGGGGCGCATGGTCTTCCTCATCCATTTTTCGTATTCAAGCATAGTATAGTCCGTTTGGCTCAAAAGCGGACCGATGAGTTGCCAAAAAACATATAATACTCAATGAAACGCTGATCATAATCAAAACATCAGACCAACTCTGTGATATTTTTGCAGAATTTATGTCCTAATCATAAAAAAGTTGTTTAACAAACTATCATTAAAAATGTGACACAATTCACTATTTGTTACGAGGGAGGAGTGTAAAGAGAGGAACAGCCAGGTGTACGTGAGACACGTGCACAAGTGATGACAAAGTTAATGATTTCTCGCACACCTGGCGGTTCCTCTCTTTACACTCCTCCCTCGTAACAAAAAGTGAGGTGAGGTGAAATTGGGTTTAACGTCGTGCTTGAGAATATTTCGCTCATATGACGACGTGCATGCGTGTGTATGTGTATGTGCGGCTGCTTGTACTAGCCCCGACTTAAGCTGGTTTTATAGTGCCAGCCCACTGAGATACCATGCCGCAGTGAAGCATGAATACCCCACTCAGACGCATTATACTGACTCCGAGCCGACCAGTCCTTGTTGTACCCATTAATGCCGAGCGCCAGGCAGGGACCAACAAGTACCATATTTTAACGTCTTTTGGTATGACGCGGTCGGGGATCGAACCCGCGACCTTCCGCTCTCCGGGCGGACGCTCTAACCACTACACCACGGAGGCGGTCAACAAAAAGTGAAATGTGTAAATATTTTAATGATAGTTTGTTAAACAACTTTTTTATTGGCAAAAAAATCACAGAGTTGGTCTGATGTTTGATTATGATGAGCGTTTCATTGAGTATTATATGTTTAGTAGTTTTCCAGTTAAAATGCAATTCATCGGTCTGCTTTTGAGCCAAACGGACTATAATAGAAGCGACAAAACCCTTTCATTAAAAGGCATTTAGAAGTAGGATGGACGTGAATGCATGACACATTTATGGATAACAACTTCTAATTCTAATCACGCCGTTTCAGAGCTGCTGAAGGAGCTGAATAAGCTCTTAAATGTGGTGATAAGAATAAAAACTACATTTTGAGGTTATGAATTATTGTATTGATTTAATTCAAATGCAAATGTAGTTTTAACACTCTATACAATATTAGATACTGTATTGAACCCATTCTGCCTGCACTAGCGAGAGAGAGTTTAGTTTTACGCCGCTTTCAGCAATATTCCAGCAATTTCACCTCGGTCGGCACCAGAAATAGGCTTCACAAATTGTACCCATGTGAGGAGCCGACAAACTCTGGTCTTCGGCGTGACGAGCGGACGCTTTAACCACTAGGCTACCCCATTTCACCCAAAACGACTTTTAGATATGTCTGATTTACGAAGTGGTAGAAGAGCCCACTGTTTTTAAAGTGACGGTTAACAATGAATGTGAAGCACGAATATAATTTATATAATAACTACAGGTTGTAGTGATTTTAAAGGGCGGTGGTGTAGCCTAGTGGTTAAAGCGTTCTCTCGTAGACCCAGGTTCGATTCCCCACATGGGTACAATGTGTGAAGTCCCCCGCCATGATATTGCTGGTATATTGCTTAAAACGGCGTAAAACTAAACTCACTAAAAAGTAACTTAAACGTTTATCGTTACAGGAAAGACTGAACTGGAAAGCTCTGCAGCAAAGATTAAGCCTTCAGTACCAGCTGGAGAGCAGGTAGCCCATGGTGAGTCGTGTAATCAAATGATATAAATCATTGTCAATGAAACAATATTCGCTGAAATGTTAAACCTTTTGTTAGGATATCCAATACGTCCAGGGATATACGTGGAGAGAACACTTTCTTTTTCGGTATTGTCAGTGCCAGCAATTTCCTTCCAAAATATATTCTGTCCAAATAAATGCGACGAAATCCTTTTCATAGTCATAAGAAAAGAGTCCATTCTACATTCCGACTGTATGAAAAACGTCTGTTGATAAATATCTGTCAATGGTGAGATGATACGAGGTATTTGGGAAAAGGTAAATCACGGGATTAAAACAATGTTCCAGGTTACTGCAACAGGTTCAAGTAATGATCAATATTCAATATGGCATATTGAGACATTCATTGACTTAAAAGTTCAGGAACCGTTGAGAACTATTTCCAGAATGTTGTGCCCAGCGTTCTACTGACAGCCAAGGAGGACGGTTAAAATTGGACCTTGGTCCCAATCCACAAACGTTCGTAGCGCTAAGCCTATGATAAACTATAAGGCTACGACAGGTCGTAACGTTACGAACTCTTTGTGGATCGGGGCCTTGGTCGTTACGTTTAGTGATTTTATTGATATTGATATTGGTGTTGATATTGTGTCAGCATAGTCTTACGTTCATCAAAATATACATCGCTGT